AGATGGGGAAGAAATAGAGGTAGTGACAGATTTTATTTTCCTGGGCTCCAAGATCACCGCAGACAGGGACTGCAGCCAAGAAATTAAAAGACGCTTGCTCCTGGGGAGGAAAGCTATGGCAAATCTAGACAACATACTAAAAAGCAGAGACATCACACTGCCAACAAAAGTGTGTATAGTCAAGGCTATGGTTTTCCCAGTTGCAATGTATGGCTGTGAAAGCTGGACCATAAGGAAGGCTCAGCACTGAAGGACTGAGGCCTTTGAATTGTGGTGCTGGAGGAAACGCCTGCGAGTCCCTTGGACTGCAAGGCAATCAAACCGGTCAGTCCAAGAGATCAACCCTGACTGCTCTTTAGAAGGCCCGATCCTGAAGATGAAACTCAAATACCTTGGTCATGTCAAGAGAAGGAAGGACTCCCTGGAGAAGAGCCTAATGCTGGGAACAATAGATGGCAAAAGAAGAAGGGGATGGCAGAGGATGAGGTGGCTGGATGGAGTCACTGAAGCAGTCAGTGTGAGTTAGCTGGACTCCGGGGGATGGTGGAGGACAGGAAGGCCTGGAGGAATGTTGTCCATGGGGTCACGATGGGTCGGACATGACTTCGCAACTAGCAACAACAATTTTAATTGCTCTTTTGCTTTAATATGTGGTTTTATAGCTAATATTGGATGCTGAGCCATTCTTACTTTTATCTTTATTCTATTTGGTTGTTGTTGTTGTGAACCATCCTGAGACGTTTGTGATGGGACGGTATACAAAAGTTTTAAATAAAATGAAATAAACTGCTGCGTGACAGATCTGACCTGGGAGCAAGTGCTTCCCAACTCCTTATGGACCTACCACTGGGAAGTGCAGCCTGAGACCAGTCCTGGCTTGCCTGTGCAGCGCCTGGCTGAGGATTAGCTTCATACCTGAAGGAAGCCTGGTGGTCTCTTTCCAGCCAGCTCCATGGCAGCAGGGCAAGATAGAAGGTGGCCCAAAGCAGGGCACTCACCAAGAGTGGGGGGATGGGCACACCCAGCCGTCCCATGAGAGGCGGAGGGTGCCAGTCCGTTGCCTGGTGCCGCCGCCACTGCTCCTCCCTGTACAGCTGCTCCTCTTCTATCCGCTGCCAGAACATTCCCTCTTCATAATGCCTGGAGGAGAACGCAATGAGTGAGAGCAGCTGTGGGAGCGGGAGGCACCGCTGCCTTGTGGCCTGGCAGGTGGGCTGCCATCCTCACCAAGACAGAGGGCCAGAGGAGGAGCCTGTCCTCTGCATCGGCTTTGCCAGGTGTTCTGGAATAAGGGCCTGGCTTGGGCATTCTGGCTCATCCTGCTTGCCCAACAATCCCCCATGCTCAGGACTGACCCAGAGACTATGCTGCCTCATCCCATCCACACCAGTGGGGTGACAGGACGTTGTACTGCTCAGCACAACCATAAAATGGCTTGCTCCCCACTTCCTGCCCTGCTGCTGAGCCTGAAGTCACGACCCTGTTCAGCCCAGCTGCTCTTAAGGCTAGAGCCCCACGATGCACTCTGCCTAGACTGCTCTCAAGACTGGTCTCGGGACCACAACTGGGGCAAGAGGCAGCAGTGCAGCTCTTGGAGGGGTCCTTGCTGGGCACACACTGTGCCTGTGTGAAAAGCAGCCTCTGGCTACCAGCTGGCTACGACTGGTGATGGCACTGCCATACAAAGTCTTGCATCACTCAGTTAACCTCACGGAATACCCCATGCACTCCATTAGATTTATATTCTACCCTTTTCTTCTCTAAGGAACTCAAAGCAGCTTGCGTCCTTCTCCGGCTGCTGTCAGTCCTATCTCCACAGCAACGACCCTGTGAGGTGGGCTGGGCTGAGAGTCTGTGGCTGGCCCAAAGATACTCCATGGGCTCCAGGGCCGAGTGGGCACTCACACCCAGCATCCCACTCTCATCACCACATCGGTGTTCAGGCATTTTCTGGAAACCAGCCTTTCCACTTCTGCTTCCCCTCTTTATAACTGTCTCATGCCAGGCTTGTGTGTGTGTGTGTGAATTTTCTGGTAAAATACTTGCAGAAATAATTTTCTGGAATTTCTTTTAAATGCCATCTCCTCCTGTAGCCACCCTGAGTTGAGGAGAAGCGAGAAAGCAACCCCGTGGTTTTGGAGGCTGCAACTGCATTAGCTTTGTCACCAGGAATCGTGCCATTAACAGAGCCTTGTCTGCCTCACATACATCTATTATTGTATTAATCTTCTGCCTTTTTCCCCACAAGAAGGCTTAATGGGGCCCTGATCCCAATTTTATACTCACAACAACCCTGTGAGGTACGCTGGAATTAGGAGCATCAGGAGCAGCTGTCCACTGCTGCTGCTACAGCCTTCTCCAAGCAGGATTCTACCCAATGTATTACACTACAACAGCCATCATACCCATCCAGCTTAGCTGAGGCTACTCTTCTTGGAGGCTCCCTCCATTTGGGGGCGGGGGGGGGTGAACTGCTCCCGGCAGGACCTGCAGGCATGATTCCCCCACCGCCAGGCGCTACTACCCACACTTGGGTGAATTATTGGACATACAGTGGCACACGAATCTTGAATGTTAATAAAATGTAATTATTACAAACGGACAGACAAACATTGGGTTTGGCATATTTTTGAACTGGATTTGAAGTGCTGCTTTTTACAGTGGAAAGTTTTGGTTTCTGGGCAGACAGAAAGGGCAGGCAGTGAAAGGCTGGACAGAATCCTTTAGAGCTGCCTTCAGCTGCCTCATGGTATGATCAGCAAGAGAGAGCCTGCCCAGTTGCCTGCCTCTGAGGGCAGTTAGGTAGGCAGCCACAAGAAAAAGGGCCTTTTCCTTGCTGGCCCCACACTTTGAACACTTCTGGCCTTCTGATGTGAATGCTGTTTGTGTGATACTCTTACTTTTAGACTGAATTTTCTGGCTCAAAGCATCGGCTGGCAGAGTTTAATTTGCTGTGGGCTGCCATGGAAGGCCTTCTGCCCAGAAAGGCAGCCAAGAAACATGCTAATTAAATAAGTGAAAGAGAAAGAAGCACCAATCTGGCAGGATCCGTGGGGCTTCCACATTTGTGCTCTTGTTGCTTGAGGGTTAGAGGTGGGAGGAGGAGGAGGCTTGCCTCACTTCCAGGTGCCGGCGCTGTTCTTCCTCTCGCTGTCTCTTTGCCAGGGCCTGGAGATGCTTCTTCTTCAGCTTCTCTTCGTGCATCTTCCGGGCTCGGTTGCTGGGCTTGATTTCAACTGGGAAGTCGGGGTTGACTTTCTTCTGCAAGAGGTTTTGCTGGCATCAGGGCTAACATGCGACATCCATTCCACCACCAAGCTCAGAACCGCCTCCGCATAAGACAACAAAATGATACCAGCTGAAGGGCAGAGAGAGGGTAGCAAAGAGCCCTGCAAGCCACTTGCCAAGCAACAAGGAAGCCGTGGATCCTTTTCTGCCTTGGACAATTAGAATAAGAGCACAGGAAAGGGCTGTGGCAAGGAATCTCAGGTAGACCGGAAAAAGAATCCTTTCTGAAACACTAGAGAAATGGGGACTGTCTCTGCAGAAAGTGCCAAACCCCAAGCCACTGACTTGGCATGGAAGGAGGATGCCAACATTAGTTTTCCAGACTGGCCCCTCAGAACTGAGAGAAGCTCATTTTTCAAAGGAAGGGCCACAGCTGGGTGGTGGGACCATGGCTGTGAAGTGCAGATGGCCCCAGTTGCTGTCCCACGGTCATCTCCACACAGGGCTGGGAGCCCACCTCACTGCCAGCGCCAGGGCCCTCACAACCCTCCCCACAACCTGGGCCAGATCACTGGGAAGCAGATGTCTGCACAGGGCACTTGGAGCCCAATGCCAGCCACAGGAGACATTCGGCCAGCCCCAGTTCTCTGGGAACTCACCCCACAGCCTTGGAGATTCCGCTTCAGGAAAGTGAGGCTGGACTCCAGGTTTGAGAAGGGACAGGCCCGCTCCTGTGCGCTTGTGGCCTTTTCTGGTGGCCACGGCACTGAGTGTAGCTCAGAGGAGCGGGGTCTTGGAGCCATGCTTTGCTGTCCTTGATGCCCTAGGGCAGGCTGCTAAACCGGCAGCTCCTGCAAATAGGGTCCTGGGGGGTCCACCAGGGGGCCACCCCCTTCCTTTCCCTCCCCACAATGGCCAAGTGCTTGTTGGTTTCCAGCACTGCATGTTTTCCCTGCACCCTAACTACAGCCCCTGATATGGCCCTTTAAACCTCCTGTTTTAGACCAACACTCCACTGGGGCAGGGCAGGGAAATGAAACAGCAGCCCCCAGAGCAAGTTGCTGAGCGCGGGGGGGAGTGTGGCTGCGTGGCACCAGTAGGGGATTGGGGAGCATGCACCCAGTGAACCTCCTGCGGGGTTGAGAACCTGGCCTGAAAGGATGCAGTGGCACAGGGACCAGGCCCAAAACCAAACACCACCTGCTGCTAGCCTGTGTTTCACTGGAGCTTCACCTTCAGGGGCTGGATCTAGAAAGGGTGGGCTCTGCAAGCTGCAAGGAGGGGTGGGGGGCACACCTTGTATTGTAGCCTGTGCCGGCGTCCCTTCAGGTGCATGTCTTTGGCATTGGGGTCATTGAAGCTGCACTCACACAGTCTGCAGCGGAAGCGCACCATCTTGCCTTGGTCGTTGAGGACCTGAGAAGGTGAGAGAAGGAAGTGACACTTAACTGTCTGTGCCCCAGAAGCATCCTTTCCTTTAGGATAGTGTGAGACCCTCCTCTAGATGCACACCTTGGCATGGTGAAAGGATCTGAGTGTGTCGGAGAAGCTGAGAGCGATGCAGCCAGGAGGCCAGGTTGTCTCACTGGACTGGGCTCCTAGCAGGGTCACCTGAGGCAGGAGGGTCAAAGCAGAGGCCCCCGATTATGAGGCCCCAACCTCTTCAGGAGCAACAGTCTTGTCAGCAGAAGCGAATAGGTATCTCTAATGACGATGGGAGCGGAGAAACTCCTCAGGGGCAGCTACTGGGCAGCAGCAGGATCCGAAGGCGACACTGGCTGAGGATTTTTTGCAGACAATGGAAATTACATTCAAGCCAACTCTGGTTGGTACTGCACAGAAAAAGGCCAGGGGAAACCACTTCTGTGTCTTCTTACCCTGAAAGCCCTATGACGAAACAATCCAAAATGAGACAAGAGATAGTGCCAGAAGAATAAAGCCTAGGTCGGACAGCACTTAACCAGCCACTGGGGAAGAGCAGAGGATGAGGATGCACTAAGGACACAACTAGATCAAAACCGAAAGGAAGTCTAGCAGTGAACATGCACAGAGGTGAAATAAAGCCTGATGTTGCACAACACACACAACTGGAATATGGAAAGGACAAGTCAATACAAAGTGGAAAATGTAGAGCAAGAAATGGAGTAGTAAAATCGTGCAGCATTTGGAGTGAGCAAACTGAAGTGGACTGGACTGGGACAAAGTGCTTCACTCTGGAAATGACAAACTCAGAAGAAACAGAGAGGGGTTCTAATACCGAGGTGAGATATAGCATGGACAGGAAGGAGCTATAATGCAAAATCCAACCGAATAGTATCAATCAGAACTTATGGAATACCTATGGACATAACTCTAATTCAAGTCTATGCTCCAACAACAGATGCTGAAAAAGAAATTGAACACTTATGGTCACTTAAGCTGAATAAGACAGGTGTTCAAGAGAAAACTGATGACATGCCAAAATGAGACATGCTGATAATCCTAGGTGATGGAAGACAAACGTAGGAAATGAAGCAGAATCAAATACCACAGATTTTAGCCTGAGGTAAGAAACAAACCAGGAGACCGACTCACAGAACTTTGTGAAGCCAGTCCTCTGCTTACAATATTCTCCTTGTCAAAACAAAACCAGGTGTAGAATGCAGTACTGGCCTTGAACTCTTAGTAGAAATCAGCAGAAAGCTGAAAAAGGTAACTAACAGAAGCATCCTGCTAACATACAACATCAATAACATCCCTTGGAATTTAAAGGCCACATAAAGAAGAGGTTTGCATTATTCAACTTAACTGATCATGGGCCAGAAGAACTATGGACTGCAACCAGACACACTATTAGGGAAGAATGCCAAAGCAGAATTCCTGTAGCAAAAAGGAAGAAAAAGCCTAGATGGACTACAAAAGAAACACTCACCATTGCTAAGGACAGACAAAACACAAAACGAGACAGAATTCTGAATGCAACTTTCCAGTGACTATCATATAAAGGCAAAAATAACTATTACAATAACCATAAAAGAGAACTATTGCAAAGAAATAGAAAAACAAAAGAGGAAAAAGAAGAGTCCTCTTCCAGAAGATGCAGCATGTCAAAGAGAATTTCAAACCTAGATTAGGAATGCTGAAAAACCAAGAGAGGGGACACTCTACAATGCAGAGAAAATAAAGGCAAGTGGAAACAATACTTGAAGAGCTATTCAGAAGTGATGAAAGGACGAAAGACTCCTTCAAAGTGAAGCAGAAGGGTGCCAAAGGCCTTGGGGTAACCTTGGCAAGTCCTGTTTGCCTGCTCTGAAACATGGGGGTACGTAATCTGGCAGCTTTCAATGGCAATGGGTTAGAGGCCTGCCAGAGGGCTTCTCTGGACTTCTCATACCACATTTCCTGGTCCATCTTTATACTAGCAGCAGTCCTGTGAATCGCTACCCCAAGCAGGAAGAGAGAACAGTTGTGTTGTTTGACAAGTATTGGGAATATCATGGAGAGTTCTTCTCTCAAAGGCTGCCATAATGGTTCTGAATTTCTTGGTACGATGGTTCTAAGAGAGAGATTTTTAGCCTTTAAGTATACATCTGGCTAGCTCAGTGACATCAGGGTTACTTGCACCCTCTTCAACTGCTTTTACTTTCTTAAATGATTTTCCTATTCAGTTTCAACTATTTGCAGTCATGTGGGGGATCACTCTGGGTTTTTGTACAAGAGTGTTTGACCCTAGTGCCAAACACTCCTTTGAATTGCAAACTTGGGTGCTAAGTGCCCCAATGGAGCCACTGAGACAAAAAGGAGAGGTTGCAGCATGCTTAGGGGAATGCTGAGGTTTGTAGAACTACCTCCCTTAAAAAATACAAGACAAAAAACAAAAACACCCCCCACCCCATTTAAGAACGAAAGGAGAAAACTACACTGCCCCCAGTCCAGTCCAATAAGGGTCAGACAGTCTCAGTATGCAAGAAGGGAGAGCATGAGAGCTGGAAAAGAAAGAGAGATGAGCAGAAGAGCAGCGGGGAAGGGTAGGCTGGTTGGAGACCCAAACACCAAGCACTTGCTGCAGCACTCTACTGCCGGTCCCCTTTGTTCTCGCACACGAGGAGACACCCTGCTCCCCAAGTTCATGCCAAGGGCTTCCCACAGAAGGTGCTCCCAGGATTTGAGAGATAATGCTCCAGTGCCAAAGGGCCTTCTGAAAGGCCTGTGCTTACCTCTTCCACATAGTCATGCCCCACAGGTTGGACGTCCAGAAGGTCACCCAGACGATCCTCAGTGCTGTTGAGGGCAGCCTCTTCCACTGCTCGAGGTGGTGTCCCTTTCACTGTCTCCTGCTTTGTGCTCATCACCAGAAGCTTGCTTGCTCCTGTGTGAGAGAGGAGAGATGCTGGTTACACTCCTCAGCAAGTGGGGGTCTGCCTGGCTGGTGTCTAGGTAGGCTGGGGAAAAGGGACATGGTGTCAGTGCCACCTCCTTGCCACCCAGAGAGGCCCACCCAGGCCATCTGCAGCAGTATGAGGCATTCAGAGAGGATGGCTCCAGCTGTGAACAAGCAGGGGAAATGGCCTCTGTAGCACCCCACATATGAAGGAAGCAGCTTTAGAGATTTCAGCTGGGCCAGAACCTCCCTGGTGAGCAGCTGCATGCGTCACCACTTTTTCTTTTGCCTGGCAGAAATTTCCTTCTTTCCTCTTCTGATATGCAGGGAGCAGACTTGGATCTGCCACCCCAGAGGAATCAGCCCAAACGGGAAGAAATGCCCCTCTGCACTGCCGGCAAGTTGCAGTAACCAACATTGCAAGGCTGAAGATTTGGGCTAAATCTCTGGGGAAACATTCCCATGGTAGGAACTGCCTGACTGAGCATCAGGTTGTCTTCCATGGGTGGGGAAGGATTGGAGGTGTTTCACCAGAGGGCTGATTGTCAGGGATCCTATGGCTGCCATTGATGAAAGGGCTGGACTACAAGACCTCCAAGGTTCCCTTCTAACCTGATGTTCTAAGGCAGGCTTCTCCAAGCATGGCACTGATGGCTGGGGAGGACTAAGGCATTTGGAAGCACTAGACTGGGAGAAGGCTGGTTGAGAACTCGCACGGCCATCCTCCCTCCCTCTGAACCCCACAGCTTCATTCCTCTGCACCAAAAGGCCTCTGTATTTGGGTTGGCTTTCAGGCATCAGGAATCGAGACACCCATTTCCTCACAAGGTGTACCTGCGAGGGCAAACTTTGCCATGAGGGGTTTCTTTGCAGGCACTGCCTTGCCCAACTCGACATTGCTGTTTGCCGGCCCTACAGCTGGCTTGGCAGAGGTGGGAGCGTGGAGTACTTGCTTGCTGGCAGAGCCGTTGGCGGTGCTGACCAGCACGGGCTCGACGGAAGGGATGGGCTTCCCCAGCTTGGTGTGCAGCTTGAGAACCTGGAACAAGCCAGAGGATAGCTGGGGGAAGGGCATGGCAGGATCGGGCCTAACAGACACTTTCCAAAGGGTCATCTCAGGAGTCTCTGGAGAGCAGGACCACCCTGAAAAAAACTCTTTGGATTCCATACACAAAGATGCAGCCAAAGAACAGCACGAGATGTGTGGAAGATGAAGGAAATGGCTGTCTCGGACTCGCCAGAGCCCTCCAGCAGTGCCCAAAGCAGGGCTCAGCACACTGCTTTGGAAATGGCCTAGCAGTGCCAGGGCCCATGGGCCAAAGCGCCAGGCATTCCAAATAATCCGGACAATGACATCATTTGCCACCCCTCTCGGCCTTCTTGGCATGACTTCCCCAGCAGATTCCCATAACAAGGCAAGATACCTGAGCCTCCCGGCCCCGAAACTCCCACCTTCTGGTGCTTTGCTCCTCGGATATGGGCCATATAGGCATCTGCTCCTGTGCACGAGACATCACAGAGCTTGCAGTGAAGCTGGGTCTGGACCCCATGAGGGACACTCCCGCCTGTCTGGCTCCCAACCTTCAGGGCTGCCTCCTTCTTCTTGTGCTTTTGGCCTTCCAAGTGCTCCCGGTAAGTCTAGAGAGGAGTTGAAATGGCAGGATCAGTCCTGGAATGTTTTCATGACTTCTCACTAGAGGGCTCCTAGTGCTCACAGAGGTTGGCCTGTGTCTGGACTGCTGTAGGTGGGAGCTCACATAAAACAGCGCACATGGAAAAACAGAATCTCAGGAAAGTGGTTCAGCCAGACTCCTTCTCCTTGAGATGCTAGCTGTGGAGATTTTTTTCAAATCCTGCAAGCCCCATCCACTGAACCTGCAGACTGAATTCATGCCACCTTGGCAGACTATCTCAGGGACAATCCCACCCCCCACCCCAAATATCGTGCAATGGGCAGGACATCACAAGAACACAAAGGACTGCTTTATTCGAAGCAAGGCTGTTGGTCCATCTAGCTCAGGACTGCCTATCACAGGAGTGGGGAATCAGGCCTTGGAGGATTCCAGATCTCATCAGGCCCAGTCAGCACGGCCCACAGCAGGGGTGCTGTGAGACAGTTTGGAAACTCCTGTGGAGACACACACCTGGCCTGCATGGGTTGACAGAGGCCTTGCAACATTTACAGGGTTTTAGTGCTGGGCCTAGATTTTGTGAGCCTGTGAGCTGTTTGCAGGGACCACCCTGATTATCCTCTGGGTGCAGCCTTACAAAGTTATGCACCTAATTACCTTCTGTTGTTATTTTCGTAAACAATTTTATACTGGACGTGCACGTGGTGGGCATGTCGTGAGTGGAGCCGGCTGGTGCCGTGGGTCAGACTAGATGGCTGGGAGGCCCCTTCTGACTCGCTCTGTTTCTATATTCCTCATTTAAAAACAGTACTGACAATTCTAGCAGTGATACAAAGCAGAAGTGGCTTTTGAGGGATTAAAGCACAGCTGGTCACCAGGTGAAGCATGCAGGTGAGAGAGCAAGCTGGCAGAGGAGTGGGGGCTGCTCAGCACCCAGCACGGAAACCGGCCCTGCTTCCCTGTGACTAGCTGGGAGCTCCCTGCCCTGCCCTACCCTGCCCTGCCAGGCATGTCAGCTCCACATGCACAGATGTACACTCGCTTTTGCAGACAGGCACAAGCCCACAAAGCTTCTATGACTTCACAGACTCAAGTCCAAAGGTTTGGTGGCAGTATGAAACTGCTGTTACTGCCAGGCACTGTAACAGCCAGAGTGGCGTGGGGGCAAGTGTGTGGACTGGGGAGTGCCAGGTTCGAGTCCCCACTCTGCCCTGGAGCTCGCTAAGTGACCTGGGGCCAATTATGCACTTTCAGACTAACCCACCTCTCAGCACAGTTGTTGCTGCAATGATATAATGGAGAGGAGGAGGATTATGTAAGCCACCTTGGGTCCCTCACAACAGGGAATAAGGGCAGGATATAAAGCATGGTGCTGTGGTTAAGAGGGTTGGACTGTGGCTCAGGCAGTCTTAGTCCCTGCTCAGCCATGGAGCCAAGTGGGTGACCTTAGGCCTCTCACAGACTCTCCACCCAACATACCTCTCAGAACTGTTGTGAGGATGTTGTGAGAAAGAGAATTATGCAACCTGCTTTGAGTTCCTTGGAAGGAAAAAATGCAAGATATACATATAACATAAATAAATAGGAATAGTAATAATAGAAGCTCTGTGCTGCAGGTACCTGGGCAAGCTTGTTTTCTTTTGCCCTCCCCATTCCTTCTTCCTTTCATGCTGGGTCTTCTGGGACTGCAAGCCTAAGAGGGCAGGAGTTGCCCTCGTTTACAAATCTGCCAGCTGCTCTGAGAATCTTTTTGGTGGACAAAGGCCCCAAAAACTTAAATAAAGGGCGAAGACTCACCTGAGGTCCTGCACAGCTGATCTTGCAAATCTCACAATAGTGAAGCTGAGGCTGTTTGGGGGGACCTTTGGGCTTCAGCAACTTGCTAGGAAATGGAGGCTTCTTGCTGTAGCTGCTGCCACCACCCACTGTGATGGGATTGGTGGTGCTGCTGCTCCAGGGGCAGCCCCCACCAGACTTCGGCTGCTGCTGGGGAGACAGGAGCAGTGGAGGTTGTGGGGGTGGCGGATGCGCTGGTGGTGCTGTCGCCTGGTAGTATGAAGTGCTGGTTGCTGTGTATACTGTAGCATCATAGCTGGTGTAGTTTGATCCTAGAGATGGGAAGGAGGGAAAGGGAAAAAATTGTGTGACACTCTGGTTCTGCTCTATTTGGCACTGGCTAGGCCCCATCTGCAGTCCTGTGCCCAGTTCTGTGCACCACAGTTGGAAGAAAGATGCAGACAAGCTGGAAAGGGTTCAGAGGAGAGCAACAAGGATGATCCGGGGAGTAGAAACAAAGCCCTGTGAGGAGAGATTGAGAGAACTGGGCACATTTAGCCTCAAGCAGAGAAGACTGAGGGGAGATATGATAGCACTTCTCAAGTACTTGAAGGATCATCACAAAAAGGTCAGGATCTCTTCTAAGTCATCTCAGAGTGCGGGACATGGAGTAACAGGCTCCAGTTCCAGGAAGCCAGGTTACAGCTGGCTATCAGGAAGAACTTCCTGATTGTTAGAGCAGTACAAGAATGGAAGCCGTGACTGAGGGAGCCAGTGGGCTTTCCCACACTGGAGGCTTTCATAGTGCAACTGGACAGTCGTCTGAGAAGGATGGCTTATCTGGGAGTTCTGCACTGAGCAGCCAGTTGGACCTGATGGCTCTACTCTTGTTGGATTGTATGAAATTCTTTGCCATTTTCTTGGTGGGCAAAGCCAAGATGTCATGCCCACATTTCCTCCATGCCCACATTGGAGGAAAGCTTTGCAGAAGAGAGGCTGGGGGCTCAGAGATTAAACACAGCCCATATCAGAAGGTGCATGTGTCCTTGGGGCTCCATCCCTGTAAGAGGCAAGAGGATGCCAAGAACTTACTGAAGACCTCCTGGGAAGAATGCCTGTTTACAAAGAAAAGCTCTGGAACTCCACATGAGATGCCGTGCATAAGGGACGGCATATAAATGTTAAATAAATAAGTAGGCCACCTTTACAAAACCTCAGATGTGATACAGCAACATCCTTCCACTGTTTCCAGGGCACTGGAGCCCCATCCTGCCTGATCTTCTGCACTGCTGACCTTCACTTCCTACTAGGCTTTGGACTGCCCTTGTGGTGGACAGTTTGGTCCTTTGCTCTTGCCCCCCTCCCCCCACCTGCTGCCTCCTCCTGCTTCAGAAGACCCTTTTGCTGTGCCGGTAAAATGGTGCTTGTTTTGCTAGCAGCTTTGCCCCAGAGGTGGTCCTAAGCTGTGCCTGAACCAGCCACAGGAGGACACAAGCTGGAAAGGGCAGGCAGGGGAGAGGAGACTCCTCCACTAAGCTCTTACCGGAGTAGGTGGCAGGAGAGGAGTTGTAGGAGGAAGAAGTGTAGGAAGAGGACGGCGTATATGACTGGAAGGAAGGTGCTATGGCATTCTGCAGGCTGGTCGTTGCTGACTGGTAGGTGCTGTAGTTGGATGAAGCGGCACTCACCACCTGGATTGTCTTTATGGGTGTCACCTGCCTTTGGGGCTGATTCTGATTGTATGCTGCTGCTGACTGGCTGTAGCCACTCTGAGGGTCTACGAAGGGCAGAGAAGAGTCATTAAGACCAGCAGGAGATGGGCTGCTGGCAGCTCATTAGAGCCCAGTAGGCTGCACTCACCTCACCTTTCCACAAAGGGAAGGAGGCAGTTTAGGGTCATTCACTGGCCCTTGGCTTTGAGAGCTGCAGCAGCCACTGATTTGCTAACCCAGTTTCAAGTCTGCTTTCATCCTTAGTGCTTGCAGCTGAGGAACTCCTGCCTGTTCAGAATGGGCTCCCTGGGAGAACTCCTGCCTGTTTTGGAAAGTTATACAACAACACTTTCCTTGAGACAGTTGCTGAAAATTGAATCAACTTGAAAGCCATCCAATTCTGTAGCATCAAAACACCATTCAGCTGCAGTCCAGAGCTGTTTTCAGGATTTTAAGTGCAACCCTCCACATAACCCAACACAAAAAAGGTTAGACTAAGTGTGACAGCCAACACTTTATTCTTTTTGGCACCAGGCCAAAACCTTTTAATTGGGGTTTTATGAATGATGTGATGTTGTATTTTACTTTATTTATTGTCAGACCATCCTGAGACTTTTGTAAATAGGACAGTATGGAAAAACTTTAAATAAATAAATAAATAAACAAAAAACAAACTTGGTGCCACCCAGGTGCACTGGACTGCAGCTCCCATGGGAGGTTGGAGATAACTGGTGGGAAAGGAGGACCCTAACCAGACCCAAGTTCTGACGTGAAGTATAAAGGCAGGAGCTCCTTGGCAAGTCAAGCCAGGGCTGGGTAGCAAGCAGATCAGCATTGACTGGGAAGCATGAGGGACTTATGTTTGCTACCAAACTCCCAAGTTCAAGGCTTTGCTGCTGTCATTCAAATCCCTAGCTAAGTGGGATAACTGGACAATTACCCTCCTGTGTATATACCAAATCAATCTGAGACTTCTAAAGAGACCTTGTGTGGGTCATCTCATAACCATAAGTGTGACCAGGCAGTGGAACACAAACCAGCCTTCTTGGTACTGGGACCCACCCTCCAGACTCCCTTCCCTAGGTAGTCTGACAGGAAGAAATGGTGGTGAGCTTTAACCAATTCTGGAAAATATGCATGTTGACTTGGGCTTTCTCTGGTTTGTGAAATACTGTAAATCTACTCTATTGTCGTCCTGCTTTTCATGCATTTATTATTCTTTAGCTCATTTACTTTGGCTAACACACATGCATTTAGAAAAAGAGAGTGAGAGTGAGTGAGTGAAGGAGAGAGGAGAGAAGCAGCCACAGATGTAAATTGCTTCAAGCTTTTAAACTATCAAGCTGTAAAGAAATAGAAAAACTGAAATAGATTAACCAGGATTTCTGACTTGGACAATTGCTTAATTGTGCCAATAAGTGCTGTCCCCGTCCCCACCGAACAATGATACAAGAAAGTTCCGTGCAGCCAGGAGAGCACATGCATGCAGGAGGACTGCATGCGCCACTCTGTTCTGCTACTCAACTTGACTCTCGAGCTCAGAATTCTTTAATCCTAAGAGTAGGTCTTTCGACTCCAGCTGGGTGGATCTTAAGGGTAAAGCAATAATCAAAGAACATCCTGCAAGTGTAAAGGTCACCCAGCCTGGGTGCAGGGGGACTCCCAAGCATGACAGATCAGCTTCCCAAACCTTCCCAGTGTCCTCAGAAGCCCTCCCACCCTACCCTTTTCCAGGTGACTCCACTTACCAAACGCTCCCGCCAGCCTCTGAACATGCCGGCACCATAAATTACTTTCGCATTTGAACTCCCCGATAACTCACTCGAGTGGTAGTATGACTCCATGGCCACATGCTGGGACGGCATGGCTACTGCCTGGTAATACGGTTTGGCCTCGTAGCCACTGGCAGTCGGTGATCGGCCGTAACTGTAGCCGTCCTGCTGCAAGCAAAATGCAGAGGTGAGCAGAGGAGAGTGAAGCGGGCTGCTCTGGTGCCTTAAGCATGGCTGTAAAGGAGCCAGAGCGCTCAGGCGGCTGTACAACCAAGGTTTGTGCCAGAGGTAAGGCAACTGCTCAGATTTCTGGAAATCTTCCCAGAGGCTCTACAATGCTGGAAGCTGATTCAGCAAGTGGAATTCTATTTCAGGAATCAAACTTATTGGCATATGCTGTTCCGGTTTTGTTTGCTTAATGAAGATCTCAAGAGCATTTCCAACAAGCTGGATAAAGCAGATCGGGGAATGTTTCTCTCCAGGAGGGTAGAATGGTGGCAACAGGGGTGAGGGCCTCCCCAGTGGTGGTCCTGCCTGGTGTTGAAGTGGCCCCCTTTTCAACATCAGGTCAAGAAAGCCCTCCCCTCACAGGTACTGAATGACATCTTTGCCTACAGCTGAGAGTGCTTTGGTTATTGGGAAATGCAGAAATGCAATCAAGGAAATATGACTAGCATTTATGTCAGCTGTCTTTTAATGCCAGGTATTTTTCTTGAAATTGTTTGGAACTGTTTTAGTAATTTTGAGTTTTGTATTGTTCTTTTTATGTGTTTGCCCACTTGCATTTTATGAATGGTTGTGAGCTGCCCTAGGAGCTTTGGTATCAGACAGCAGAGAGATGAAGATCCAAGTCAGTCAATAATGCATTCAACCCTTCAATAAGGTTGACTGGCAGCAGATTCAGGACGGACAACCACACAGCCCAGGACTGAGTGATGGAATTCACTGCAACAGGACTTAATCTTTAATTTACAGAAAGGCTGTCAATTGGGACAAGTCTAAACAAGGATTAGACAAAAACATGGAAAAGTAAAGTGATCAACAGTCGCTACTCACAAGAGCCACTTAGGACTTCCAGTCCTGGTGGCAGCGTGTCTCTCGCTACCAGATGCAGGTAGGGTGGGGTGGGCCAAAATGCAGTTGGGGAATGCCACTGCCCTCATGTCCTGCTTATGGGCTTCCCCCGGGGCCTCAGGATGGGCATCCTGGCCTTGGTCTTTGGGTCTGATCCAGTGCCACCCAAGGTGCAAATCTGACCATCCTGGGCTGTGCAGAAGGCCACCTCCCACCCCCTTTGCCCAACTGCGATCCACAGGTGGCCACTCAGTGTTCCACCAATCTTAACTGCTGACTTGCTTCCCCTAAGACTTGGTTACTTGTAGTCAGGTTTCCAAGCTGTAACATGAAGGGAGGGCTTTTGTATTCCTGGCCCCACCCCCTTTGCTTTTGGTCCCATGTATTGCTAGAAGTGCATTCAACCCTCAGTCTACAATGGATCCACCTGCATGCCTTGAACCAACTAATAGATGTGTAGGACCCAGTCAGCTACCTGATAGTTCTGAGCAACAGGAGGCTGGGGGATGGGCTCCAGTTGCTGTGCCCCGTAAGTGTAGTCTTGTGTTGAAGGGAGCTGATAGCCCCCATAGGCTGCTGATGTCACTGGCCTTGCAGCTGGCACTGCCAGGGTATAGGTGGGTGCCACAGCATGGTCTAGGCCTGGAGCCTGCTGGACTGTGTAGCTTGCTGCTGTGGGAGGGTGGGAGTAAACTGAAGCTTGCTGGGCACTGAAAAAGAACAAGATAAACATAGAAACAGAGCGAGTCAGAAGGGGTCTCCCAGGCCATCTAGTCTGACCCCCGGCTCCAGTCAGCTCTGCTCACAACATGCCCACCAAGTGCATGCCCAGCCTATCTCTGAACACCTTCACTGATGGGGCCTCCAACACCTCCCGGGAAAGCCCAGTCCACACCCTCAGGGTTCTGACTGTCAGGAAGTGCTTCCTGGCATCCAAATGGAACCTGGGTTCCCTGAGCTTTGCTCCAGTGGAGCATGTCCTGCCTTCCTCTGCAGGGGAGAACAGATCTCTACCCATCTCCATGTGACATCCCCTCACATACCTGTATGTCGCCAACAGATCCCCTCGAGTCTCCTCTTCTCCAGGCTGAAGAGACCCAGTTCCCTCAGTCTCACCTCATACGGCTTCCCCTGCAAACTGGCCACCAACCTTGTGGCCCTATGCTGCACTGACTCTAACCTGGCTATATCCTTCCTGTAATGAGGGGCCCAAAACTGAGTACAATACTCCACTTGTGGGCGCACCAGAGTCATATAGAATAAACAAGAATATAAAAAGAAAACAGAGTAAGCAGGGTAAAGTACATAACAGCAAGCATAAGATCATGTAGATAAAAAATCACCAAAGCAATGCAGTCTGTAAAAAATGAGAGCCAGTGGACCACCATCAGACAGAAAGTTCAAAGTGGAGTTCATGGGGGATGGATATAATGCAATGGGAAGACCAGAAGTGAGGAAGTCCTTGCAGCCATCCTTCAACCCCTCATAGAGGGGGGATCCTTAGGGGAGGTCCTTATAGGAAGCTTTATCCCAGAAGAGGGGCTCCATCAGATAATGTAGTCCTCAACTGCATAAGACTTGCAGTACATGCAAGTTGGTCAGAATCAGTACTACACGCCCTGGTCCCTGCTCTCCCTTTGGCCACCATATGTGGCATAAGCTGCAGCTTCTGAACTTTTCTTCAAGGAAAGCCCCACGTGGAGCGTTTCTCTGCCATTCACTTGAAGTTTATCTGAGCTCAGACTGCTGAAGCCAGGCTGTCCCTGTTCAAGAAGGGGAGCAGCTGGACAACTGGTCAAAACTAGTAGAGGGCACTCTGTGCCACTGAGGCTACCTGAGTTTCAAGTGACAAGCCATAGACCTCCTCCTGTAGGAAAAGTACAACCAAAACCAAGACAGGCCGATTGTTCTGCTTGCCCTGTAAATGTCTGCCTACTCTGTGAATTAAATAGACAATTGTATGATAAAAGCCTAATTTGCAAGCACTTTTTTTAAAGAGAAGCAGAAATGACTATAAATAATATGAAGTAACTTGGACAAAGATAGACTTGCAGTTGGAGATTTTCCAGATAAAAAATGGCAATGAAAGCTACCTGGCGGTATTCATTCTTTCTTAAGAAACCAACTACAGTGGTGCCTCAGCTCACGAATGCCTTGGTTCACAACCAAATCGGGTCACAAACAAAAACTTCATGAAAATTTTGACTTGGGTCGCAAACTCTGCCTTGGTGCCAACCAAGATCGGGGCCATCTCCCCCACACCTTGAACGCAGTTGTGTTCGAGCTGGGAAGACATGCGTGATCACGGGCGCGCTCCTGCAGGAAAGATGGACGCAATTTCTGCCGCCCCACCCCCAACCAGCACGATCACGGCCATCTCCCCACACCCCACAAGTGGGGAGATGGCCACAATTGCAGTTGCGTTTGTGCAGGGAAGACACAGAGGAGCTGACAACAGAAGAACTTGAGAAACTCCAGAGTGAGCAGCAGAAGGCGCTTGCTGAGGAGGATTCCACTGAGGAAGAGGAAGGCAGGGAGGAGGTTCACAGTGATGTGATACAATCCATTATGGAAAAATGGAAGGAGTGCCAGGATTTCTTTGAGAAGCACCACCCCAACAGAACTGTAACGAACAGAGTGTTGAATCTGATGAACGATAACGCGGTCTCTCATTTCCAGAGGGTTATGCAGCGCAGGAGAAAGCAAGTGACTATAGACAGATTTTTCACTAAAATTGACCCTGCAGCTAACAGACAAAGAAGAGAGGAAACCCCTGAAAGAGATCTCCCCAGGGTCCTTATGGAGGGGGACTCTCCCTCAAAACAATAACCTCCCCCACCACCTTGGTTAGTGTTCTCCACTGCACTGTACAGTACTTTACTTTGTTGTTCTTTGCCACTTTGTTTCAAATTTTCTGATTTAAAAAATAGTAACAGAATGGATTAACCTTATTTACATTGCACCTTATGGGCAAATTTGAATTGGGTCACAACCAATTTGGATCACAACCAGAGTCGTGGAACGGATTAAGTTAGTGAGCCAAGGTACCACTGTAATTAGAATTGGGCAAGCAATTTTCCTTTCTTCTCTGCAAGAACAAAGGACAGAATAACTGATTCATTTTGGCCCAGTGCATTGCCTTTGGTTTAGCAGTGCAAACAGCTAAACAAACCAAGGGCTCTGAAAATGTTATGTTTCCCATTGCAGCACAATAATGTTCCATTTATATGACCACAGTTGTGAAAGAAACATCTCCCAAAAGGATGCAATTGGCAAGCGAAATGGGGAGCCTCGCTTTGTAATCCTCAACCCTCTTTTAAAAACCGTGTGAGAAAATACATTCAAAAACAGTAAGACAACAGTGAATCCAATCTTGCTTTAAGGGAAAGGACAGTCCAGCACTTGCCAAGGGCCCACACCCAGCAGGGGCCCATTTCTAAGACTCCCTCCTAGAGTTATGCCTCTTCCTTCCCAGTGCAGCCTGCTGCACCTCCTGCCTCTTGCTCTGACCCAGACAATGGTGGGGGCGAGGAGCACTGGCTTTCTGTCTGGCAGGCATGCAGTAGCTGTGATGAGGAAGAGGAGCATCAACAACTGATGGTCACGGTGATGAGAAGGGAGACTCGCTGACGAATGGGGCCCCTGGAGGGTCTGCCCAAGTGCTCTCAATAGAAGGTGCATTTGTTAATTTCAGTTTCACCTTTCCCAGTTACTTAGGTCCAAATTTTGCCTCACTTGGTATATATAAGCACATACCTGGCATGGAAATTTGCAAGCATATCTCCTAGTATATGCATTTCTGTATACATTTTTGACGAATGCTCAAAACTTTCCAAAATGTCTCCCCTCATATAATGCTTTGCTCCTCTCTACATTGTCTTGAAAACTGGATGCATTTTTAAGCATTTGTAGTTTGGAGAACTACCTTCCTGAATTCTGAAAAGAGCATCTATGAAGGAGAGGACCCAGGGAGTTCATTTTGCCCTGGTGTCCTCCAAAATCTGGAGTTGGTGGTGCATGCTGACAAGGCTGCATCCAAAGTAAGCCCACCATGAACAAACAGGGACAGAACATGCTCAGACAAGACCCAAAGTTGCAGAATTACACAAGAAATATTTGGATGGGATGAAACAAGTGCGGGAAGAAAATAAAAGGTTCATTAAAACACCCCTTTCATGACTAAGACTTATCAGTGGTCAAATGTTGCTCTTGTTGGCAGGAGAAACCCAGAATGAAAAAGCGCATGGATGGATGGCAGAAAACCAACATGGGAACAACTACTGGAATTTTTGACTACCATGCAGGTTACACTGCAAGCCAGAATGAATTAATGTCAGCAAAGCAATCTGAAGAGAATTGTCTATGCTTAATCCTCAGGTGGCGACAGACTGTGAACTGAGAAGCTGCCAATCCAAATCCACCATAAAGTTAAAGGCCAACAGAGGTACCCTCTACTATCTCTGGCTGTTGGTCTAGAAAGATTGGGATTCCCTGTGCTGCATTGCACTTGGTCTCAGATCTTTCAGACTCAAATCGTTCCCAACCCTCCCTGAAATTGCCAGATGCTGAACTCAGGCCTTCTGCATGAAAAGCAGCTGCTTGGCCTTTTCTCTAAAGTAAGATTCTAGCCCTCATTTGAATAAGAATGCTACCAACTCCAGGAAGTTTGCTTTTTGGGAAGTGTGATGGTTTGTCCACATACCTCATGAGCTGTCTACACTGACTTAGCAGCTGTTTGTGGTTTTAGTCAGTCTTTCCCAGCCCTGTCTGCAAGCAGGGATGTTCTACATGCAAATCAGGAGCTTAGCCATTGAGGCCTGGTCTATACCTGTAAATATCTAAAATACAGAAGGCATGATTATCCATTCCTGTTTCCCTACTGTAAGGTCTTCTAGACAGGAACCTTTTATTACTATTTAGAGTTGCAAGGCATTTGGAAGGACGACTGAGAAGAAAGCATGCATGTACTGAATACCTGGCTAAATTAAAAGAAATAAACTAATTTGATTGTCTGTTCTTTCAGCATAGCCTGTCCAACAGAGACACACACAGTTCCCTTCCACTTACAGCAACTTGGAATACTTTCATAAAAACACAACAGAAGTTTCAAAATAAAAACATAATTTGATAAGCAGATATAAAGCTGCCTGACCTTGAAGGGTATCTTCTTTAAAGGGTAGTTAAAATAATGAATGCCAAGGATTTTGAAATAACTCTAAATGATCTGCAAGCCCTTCTTTCCCAACCTGCCATATTGGTGCTAGTAACTGGTACAACCCTGGCCCACAAGACTGCTGCTCCACATGACCTATATAAAGCATGCAAGCATCTGGAAACATGAGTTGGAGATCAGTTGATCTCCCCATTTCCCTCCTAATTCCAATTACAGGGAGATGTTCATTGCAACACTGCTCTATTTCACAGGAGTGTTCTACAGATGGCTGAAAAAATTACTAGAAATCTCTCAAGAGCCCTTGAATTGAGCTATATTTCCATTCTTAGCCCCTTACTATATGGGGGAGATGAAGAACACTCACTATAATACTGACCCACCCACAGGGCTATTGTAAGGAGGGTTTAAATTATGCACACAAAGCACTTTCAGCACTAAAAACAGGGTGGAGATGCATATTTGTTTCCTCAGCTCAATGCTGAGTTCCAATACTGGAGAGAAGAAAATCATTATGACACTAAAACAGAACATGTTATGAAATAGGTCCTGATTATAGGGTTTTTCCTTCTCCCACTCCCCAGCTGTCATACTGGGCCGGAAAAGAATAATCACGCTAAAACTGCCCTACCTGACAGGGCTGTGCTAAATGAGGGCTGAGATATTAGATGACTAAGTTCTTTGCAATGACCTAGAGGTATTTGTTCTCTCAGCCCCAACTTTCCCCAGCTGTACCTGCTATCTCAGGGTGGTGGAAAATACTTTACTATTACATAGATATTTTGTCTTTCTCAAGGAAACCAAGGCAGCAAACATGTCTCCCTTCTATTTTATCTCCCAGCATCCCTGTGAGATAGGCTATGGCTAAAAGTCAGCAACTGGTCCAAGGCCAGCTGGTGAGCTTTATTGCCAAGGGTGTCTCATGTTGGAACACCCTGTTCTCACCCAGTTCTCTAAGCAAACTGGCTCTCTGCTTGGCAGTTAAAATGCAGGACCTGCCGATGGCCTAAAGATGGCTGCAGCTTCTCTTTTTTTTCTCTCCCCATGTGAGGAATGAGAAAGCAGGGAGAGGTGGAAAAATATAGGGCCATAACCCCAAACTACCTTACAGAGTTGTTGTGAGCACGAACAATGCATGAGGAATATGTCCAATACTAACCCAAATTTCATCTGCAGAACACCAGAAAAAATCACTGACTCACCAATCATGTCCCTTTCAAACATAATGGACTACAGCTTCTGTCATCCCCTGAGCAGCTCCTTCAGTGTGGTGGACTAGAGTTCACACTACACCCTGAGCAGAAGGTGATGAGAGCTGTAGCCCTTTATAGTTAGAAGTTGCCCAATTGTCTAGGAAGAATGGTCTATGTGGGTGTCCTGCAAGGGTGATGGACTACAACTCCAAGCATCCCCACTGAGCCTGATGGATATAGCCCAACATAACTAAAAAGTGGTCAGGGAATGATAGAAACTACTCCTTTACATTTGAAAAGGATCCAAATGGGTAAGGTCACTCAACTATTGTGGAGGTCTTTGGCTGTGCCAGACTACAACTCCCATAATCCCCAAGCAGCTGTCCAAATGCATTTCATTACAACTTCCATCATGCTGGAGAGAGGATGATAGGAGTTATAGTCCTTTACATTTCAAACCACCCAGCTGGTTAGAACCACAATCTAAGGGGTGCCCTAAAGCTTTTCTGGAGTACACCTTCTAGCATCCCCTACTCAGCATGAAGGCTACAGCACAATGCATCTCGAGAACAGACTGGAGAATGATGGGACCTGAAACACTGGGAATGCATCCAAATGGCTAGAACCAATGATCTACCCTGGTGCCCGACTGCAGAGCAGTATTACAACACCCCTCTTCACGTGTGTTGGAGCGCAGCTCTTCCATGCTGGCCTGGAGGAGTATGGGAACTGTAGTTTACCACATTCGGTGGGAGAAACCAAGTGGGTAGAACCAACGATCTTTGAAAGGGCCCTCCAGCTGTCTCGCCCCCGGAGGATGGAGGAAGTTGTAATCTGACACAGCTAGAGAGAGACCCCTTTCCTCTCAAGATCCAAATCCCCAATCCTGAAAAAAAGAAAAACAAACTCCCTTCCCTCCGTGTCTGCGAATGTGTTGACCAAAGCGGCCCACCTGGCAGGGCTGTTGTGACGAGCCGATGAGAAAATAACGGTTCGAGGGCGCTGAGAGAGCTTGGCTCGCGTGACTGAGTGGGCAGGGAAAGAGGCAAGGAGGGCCTGGCACTTTCCATCAGCACCGCCATGGCGCGGCTCCGCCCCCCACTCCACCCCACAAATACCTGTATTGGGGCCCGGCAGCGAAGCCGTAATAATTGCCGGCCGCCATCTTGGCCTCGTCGCAGGGCAGCCCAGTCGGCGCGTAAGAGAAAAAGGAGGGCGCCCGTGGCACGCCGGGAAGCACGCGGCGCACGGCACGCACGCGACGCCGGCCGGCTCGCTTGCTGCCCAGCAACAGGCCACGCCCCAGTCGGGGTCATTCTTCTCCCCTCCATAAACTTATGCAGCCACAAGGGATAGAGAACTGCAGGGAGCAAGCTTCCGGGATCATCTTTAGGACTTCCCCACTTTGCATCACCTGCAGCCTTTTATAAACTTAAAACCTTAAAACTGTCAATACTACGGCGCAAGTTTCTGGGTTCTTTAGAACACCCCCTTTAGACACCTGCCACAGATTGCATAGAACCTCTTCCCCCACCGCCAAAAAAAAAGCCCTACAGACGGACACCTGCTCTTCCTAATATAGCTCTTCTCTCTTGCGGGGCGAAGATATAGTTTCAGTTTTGAAAAGTTTAAACAGGCGCGGGGAAAAACTAACTATTCAGGGCTGGGCTGAGAATGGAAACCAACCAGCCACAGTTCCGAACTCCGACGATGAGAGACTAAAATACAGGGCTGGGTTGCTGTCAGCTAACACCGCATGAAATATGGAGAACTCAGATTATTTAGCGATAGAACTTACATCAGAAGGGTTACTGGAAAGGATTATAAACGCAACAAAAATTTTAAAAATCGTGTCAGACTTTAATCGTTTAAATTGTGAATTAAAAAGAACAAACTACCACTTTCGATAGTACTTGGAAGAGATTGTGGGAGATGCGAGGGCTCCTGTTGCCCAGTCCAAGCTGAAGTACGTTAGTGGGGACAGCAAGAAATACTATTAATTGGCTTCTGCGCTGAGAATCCTGCAGTTGGCTATCCTGTCAATGGATATGCTCCTTTTATTACCTCTGCACTGGGCCGGTCGAGTAACGTGATGTGGAGTTACCATAACCACTTTAACATCTCAGAACGGGACACCAACCGCGGACTCGTTAGTCTCGTTGAAGCGCTAGTCCCGTCCCAATCTCGCGAGATCTGCCCAGGAGCCCAGTTGGCTATGGAGGGGAACGTTCGCGCTTCAAGGTCACATGACTGCTTCCTTTCCTTGAAGCCCGCGCAGCGCTCCGAACTCGCCGTTTCGGCAACCGGCGCGTAGCTTATAGCATGTCGCCATGGCAACCGCCCAGAACCACGGGCTGCTCAGGACCTGCCGGCAGGAAGCGGATACTCGGGTGACGTCAAGCTCTGGCGTCATGTGATTTCTGTCGCCCTCCTGTAAACTCTCTCTTACAGCCACAGAAAAACTGAAACAAATAAAACACGGCATGTAGCCGCACCAAGTAGTATAACCCCGCTCCCCTAGTCCCTCGCTTAGTGTCCTTCTTGGGGCCTTAATAACGAGGAGCCCCCACCCCTGTAGCTTTTGGGGAGAGGCCTCGGGATGGGCCTGTGGGCTGAAGGTTCCCCACATCATGTGTACTACCTAGAAATAGTTGGAGTGGCATGGTTGACACCAACCTTTTGGGGGCCTACTAAAAATGGTTTTATCAACAGCTTTCCCAGACGATTAACTGGTCCTTCCACATGCTTTTCTTCAGTAGAAGTTACACATTAGTATAGTCAAATACAATTAGGACGAAAGTAATGGTTTAATGTTCCAGAGATGAAACTTCAAGTTGTACCTAAGTGTCGTGTGGTGTGGCACTGTGTGGTTTATCTTCATATAGATTATCAGGAGAGTTTCTGTGACAATAACCCACACTGACTTTTTAAAAATGTGATGCATTAAATTGCCTGTGAGTTGTTGGAAAGCTTTTTCTTCTTCCAGCATGCGGTGCTAGCTGGGTGGGTACATGAGAACCCATGCCTAGACAGCAATTATGGAAGCTGCATCTTGTTGTTGTTGTTGTTAGTTGCGAAGTCGTGTCCGACCCATCGCGACCCCACGGACAACACTCCTCCAGGCCCTCCTGTCTTCCACCATCCCCTGAAGTCCACCTAAGCTCACACCAACTGCTTCAGTGACTCCATCCAGCCACCTCATCCTCTGCTGCCACCTTCTTCTTTTGCCATCTATTGTTCCCAGCATGAGGCTCTTCTCCAGGGAGTCCTTCCTTCTCATTAGGTGGCCAAATACTTTGGCCACCT